CTGAGGATGTTTTTTCCATTGCTTTTCAGAGAGAGTAGAAGGGAGAGAAGGAGGGAGGCAGGGGGAGAGAGGGAGAGAGAGAGGGAGAGGGAGGGAAACATTGATGTGAGAGACACATCAACTAGTTGTGGGGCTGCACTTTCCTCTGCCTAGTTCTTTTTTTTGTTAATCCTCACACGAGGACAGTTTCTCCATTGCTTTTCAGAGAGAGTGGAAGGGAGAGAGACTAGGGGGGATATAGAGAGAAACATTGATGCAAGAGAGACACATCTCTCTCCCACAAGCTGCCCAACTGGAGGAGGGAAGCAACTGAGTCACATACTCTTGATGGATTCAAATCCTCAACCCTTTGATTCGAAGGCCGACGCCCTAACCACCAAACCACCGAACCACACTGGCCAGGGCTGCCTATAGTTCTGGAGGCAAAGGGTGGGTGGGGCCAGACCCCAGGGCACTCACTTTGCAGCTTCTCATCCACAATAGCCAAGCTCTTCTCAAAGGCAGCCCGTGCTTGCAGCAAGGCATCCTGTGACTGGCAGTGGTCATAGATGTCCAGGTGGGTTCGGCCAATGGTGGCCCAGGCCCTTTGCAGCTCAATGTGGTTGGACAGGGAATGGGCCAGCTCCAGATAGTGGTGCTGGTGCTGGGGCGCAGAGGAATAGTGAGCCAACCCCTGCCTCAGGCAAACCCCACATGTCACCTAACTCCAAGGGGTCCCTATCCTTACACAGGAGAGCCCCCTGCTCCCTGGAACACGCCCCCTCCCCAGCATCTCCTCTATGTCAAGGGCTGCCTCTGGGGACACTGGATCCACAGCCCAATAAGCAAATGTCAGGATTGAGAAAGGACAATGAGTGAAAGTTAGTTGGGTTTCTGCAGCCCCAGCATCAAGGGCCAGGGCAGGCTCTGTGTGAACAGTGGTTCCTGACCCCTCCCCCTCTCACAAGGCAGCTCAATGGTTGTTTCTGTGGCCGAGCTCCCAGGAGAGGCTGTGGTGCAAGCACCCAAGGACTAGGCGACCATCCCCTGGCACTGGGCTCTCTGAAGGTGAGGCCCAGTCGCACACAGTATATCAGCCTATAGCCAGAGGCTGGGACAGTAAAGACTGTCAGAAAAGAGGAACAAGAAAGGCAGGTCCAGGAGGGATGGGTCTGGCAAGCATGGGTCTGGCACGCCCACCTGCAGGGCAGCTGAGTAGTCCTCCATCTCCGCCAGCCGCTCTCCGATCTTTCGGTGGGCCACGGCGCAGCCCAGGGCGTCGTCGGCACTCTCCAGGAGCCGCAGCTCCTGCTGATGCTCCTGCAGGGCCTCTGAGTAGCGGCCTGGGCGGGCAGGCGGGCAGGC